ACAGGAGGGGAAAAAAAGGCAACACGAGAAAGGGGAGAACATAACAACGATCCTGTAAAAGTCAATGAGAAATAGCCACACAAAATTTTTCATAGCAGCACTAATGTAATAACAGAAAACCAAACCAGTAATGTGCCCAAGAATTGGGAACGGCTAAATAAATTGTGGTAAATGAGTATAATGGGACGTGACTATATTACAGGGAATTATTAATATTAAGAATACAAAGAAATATGGGGAGATTTATGTGAAATGATGCAGAGAAAAGCAGACCCAAACGATACGTACACGTACACTCACTGTGTAAAGGAAGAGAATATCCAATAGGAACAACAAAGCTAACCCTGAATATAATGGACAACCCATTGGTGCTACCTTGTGAAAGCTCATGTGGGTTGAATTCTTTGTTTCTTTTATGAATCCCTTGTAAATAACAGTAACAGAAAGGTACTGTTGCATGCACAACCACTTTTACACATTGTTTTGCTTAATTGCTTTCAGGGTTTGGGGTTTGTTTGGTTTTCTTTATTTTCTCTGGCTGTTTCTATTAAAATTCAATTACATAAAATTCGCCACCATTATTTCCAAACCCCCAGCAGCTGGAGAGAAAAGAGACAATTTGGAAGACAGATGAAATTCCTTCTCTTTAGAATGAGACAGTGAGGACAGATTTAGAGAGAGGTCTCTCACTGCATGTGGCCATAAGCACATGGCTACACAGTGTGGCTACACTGTGCTATTTTGTTATGTTCTATGGTCGTAGAAACCCTATGAACATTTATTAAGCACCTACTATATGCAAGGCACTGGGGTCATAAAGAGAGAAACAAAACAATCCTTCCTTCAACGCACTTAAATATACTCAAGACCATAGTCTAGGAACTCTTTCTAGGCTCTCCTCTCACCAACCTATGGCAAAATTTCAAAGTAGGTAAAGTTTACTACCTTCCTTCTCTACCCCTTCCCTGTATGTCCCAATGCCCAGTGCTCTCAGATACTCTCTGCTACCAATAATAAAGGTGATGTGATGCCCTGGTCAGACCACATCTAGAAGATTGTGTTCAGTTCTGGGCACCACATTTTGGAAAGGACTTTGATAAGTTGGAAAGCATCCAGAGAAAACTAGTAGATAAAGGGCCTTGAATTCATGTCATATGAGGGTCTCTTGAAGGATCTTGGGATGGGTAAAAGAAAGTTGAGTCCATTTTCAGTTCTGTCTGAATCATTTGGAGTTTTCTTGGCAAAGATCCTAGAAGTGGTTTGCCATTTCCTTCTCCAGTTCATTTTACACATGAGGAAACTGAGGCAAACAGGGTGAAGTGACTTGCCCAGGTTCACACAGCTAGTAAATGTCTGAGGCTGGATTTGAACTTACAAAGATGAGTCTTCTGATTCCAGGCCTGGCACTCTACCCACTGTGCCACCTAGCACAGTTCTCTTGTAAAAGATTTTCTCTTTTATGGACATGGATCAGGTCTTCAAGTATTTGAAGGGCTATAACCTGCAAGGAGTAGACTTGTTCTGTCTGTCCTCAGAGGGTAGCAGAACCAGGAGCAGTGAACAGAAGTTGCAAAAAGGCAAATCTAGACTTTGCTGTCAAGAAAAACTTCCTAACAAGGAGAGTTATGGAGAGGTGGAAAGGCTGTCTTAGGGGGCAGTAACTAGGTTTCTGCTTGTTGGAGGGATTTAAATAAAGACTCTATGATCGCTCTTCAAATCTATTGTAGAGAGAATTCTTTTCAGGTACAGGTTGGACTAGATAGCCTTCCATCTAGGATGTCTTCCAACTCTGAAATCCTGTGATCCTGTGGTTCTGGCCAGAAGGATCAAAAAAATCTCAGATTTGAGTTCCAGCTCCATTATTTATTAGTTGAGTCACTATGGGCAAGCCCTTTCACCAAAATCTAAGGCTGTTTTCTCATCTATGAAATGGGGATCACAACAAATACATTACCAACTTCACAAAATTTTTGTAAGGAAAGTGCCTCTTTGTAAACTGGAAAATGCCATAGATACACGAGCTAGTAAATTACGGGCTATTGTAAACCTGGCCATGCCCTATCCCCACCTAAAAGAGCCAAGCCAACTCCCCCTTTTCCATCTCACCTCCAGCAGCCAGCACTACAGAACCAACACTCAGAAATGCCCCAGAGTCCCCAGCATCTTTCCTGTCAGAGCATCACCTGAACCAACTCCAAATCTATAAAGAAGCTCATCCCTCAATCCCACACACCCCCTTACCCTAAATCTAGAAGCCCAGGCCAGGTCTGTGTCTGGCTTTCTGTGCCCCCCACATGGATAGCGTGCAGTTTGGCAACCTTTGCGTTTTGTTTTTTGTTTTTTCTTTTTACAACTCTCTCTCATTTGGGGCAGAAAGGGATGGCAAGTTTGCTCATGTCCCACAGCCCTACAAACATAATTGGTGGCGGCAGGCGAAGCTGTGGAGGGGGGAGGGGTTTGTGGCTGGAATGGAAGAGGGAGGGAATTAATAGAATCTTGAAGCTGGAAGGGACTTTGGAGATCATGAGTGTAACCTCCTCATTTTACAAAGGAGGAAACTGAGGCTCACATTTTGCCCAAGGTAATATAGTTAGGTTCTAGTCCCAGTTTTTCCACTAAGTCTTTAGGACCGTGAGGTCCAGTCTTCTTTCCACTATATCATAGCTGTCTTCTCAAGCCCTAAAATCAGGGCAAGCTTCTTTCTCCTCCCCACCCTGGACCAGATGAAAGGAAGCAGGCTGACTAGGAAAACCCACCCATCACACTCAGTCCCTAGCTCATGTCAAAGGTCCAAACCTACTGATATAATTAAGCAGGGTTAGGAGGGTAAGGGGCCTAGACATTGCTAGGAAGAAACAATCACTTTCTCCCCTCCTTGGACACTGGGGATTGGGTACTCTAGGGACTGTTTTAAATTACCACATACAAAGAGACTCTATCTAAATCAGTCTCTTTTCTGCCTGGAATTGGCCACAGAGGAAGACTGGTTCCTCAGCCCCTGGGTTGGGAGGTCATTTTTTTTTTCAAACCTTTCTCTCCAGGCTTTAAAAAAAAAAGTCTTTTCCTCCTCCCTGCACTTGAAGAAGGTGGAGTGGAAAAGGCAGAAGAGATGGATTGGGTCAGGAGGATGGATGGATCAAGAAGGCAGTTGCTTATTACAAATGTTTTAAAAATCTACCACCACCACTCCTAACCCCCCAACAATTAATAGAAGAGTAGGTGAACAGCAGATGAAGTTCCTTTCTGTCTAGAACTGGGCAGTGAAGTCAGTTTCAGGATGAAGTCTGCAGGAGGTCCAGTGCAAATGGTTGTGTGCACACTCTGGTAGTGTATTTGCATGACTATGAATTCATGGGTCTGTGCATAATAATAACAACAACAACAACACATTTATATAGCTATTTGCAGTGTTTATATATTAGTCTATGCTGAGAGTTTGGTAAGTGTGGCCATGGTCATGGGCTTTAAAAACAATTAGGGAGGGCTGGTGACTTTTAAAAGTGTGGAAGGTTTTCTCCCATCCTGCATCAATGATTCAGTTTATAAGTGGACCCAACCCTAGGAGTGAAAACTAGGTACTGGAAATGATGGAACCAAGCCCTGAGAGTCACAGGGGGAATTGTTCGAGAATACAGTTTCAGACATTCAGGAACACCTAGGTATTGCCTTGGTATCTTTATAAACCTTAATGCACTATATATGAATGTGAGTTATTCTTGTTACTGCCGCTGCTATTCATCGGGTATGCGTGTATACATGAATACATGCGCATGTGCACACATGTGCACCTTTGTGCATCTGCTTATGTACCTGTACCCGCAAACATAAATGCCTATCTTTTTGTGTCTTTGTGTATGCGTGGGTACTGCAACCTGTACATGTAGGTGCAAATGTCTCTCCTTGCAAACATCTCTAAGTACATAAGCCTCTGGTTTGGTTTCATGAACTGTGATCCCCCTCTTTGGAGGGCCAGGAGAGGAGGAGAGCAAGAGCCCAGCACTGTTTGGTCTGGAGCTGAGCGGAGTTTGCATTGATCCATTGATTGTACATGGTCTCTTGCCTGACCTCCCTGCTCCCGGGGAAGCCGTCTCCATGGAGACTGGGCCCGCTCCCCCAGCGGTGGATTGTAAATTCCTGCAGGCAGCAGCAGAGCAGACTGGGGAGGGGGCCGAGGGAGCCCAGGCAGGGGAACAACTACCGAGCCAAGGCCCCATTTGAAAGAAAAAGAAGAAAAAGGAGGGGGAGGAGGAGGAGGAAGAAGAAGGGGGGGGGAAGAGGAGACAGAAAGAGAAGAAAGGAGGAAGAGGAGGAGAAGAGGAAAGAGTGTGAGCAGAGGGGGAAGTGGGGGACGAAAGAGAAGTAGACGAAGCAAAGAAAGACAGAGGCAAAGACACACAGAGAGGTTCCCAGAAACGCAGAGAAGGAGTGAGCGAGGAAGAAAGAGAGGCAGAAGGGCGTGTTTCTTGTCTTTGCCTTTCCCCTCCCCTTTCTCAGGTCCCTCACTCAGGCTCTGCACTCGGGTCTGCTGCTCTCTGGGCGAAACTGGGAATTGGGTGGGATTATAAAAAGGAGCCGCCGCGCCGCGAGCCCCAGCCCCAGCCCCAGCCGCAGCTCCGGCCCCAGCGAGGGCGGGCTGCAGTTCCCCTTTCCGTCAGCAGCTCCGGGTGCCCCCTCGCCCTCTCTCTGTCTCTCTTTCTCCAGCCTCCTTCCCGGGAATCCCAGCAGCATCAGGAGCCTCCAGCGGAGCCACCGCCGCTGCCCGCATCCTCGCGAGCCCATACCCACAGACAGCCAGACACACAACACACACTCGGATACACACACGCGCGCGCGCGCTCGCGCACACACAAACACGCACACACTCGCACCCCTGCTCCGGGCCAGAGCTTCGCCCCCCGCCTCCCTTCCCCTCCCCTCCCCCTCGCCCTCGCCCTCCCCTGCCGGCCCATAGCAGCGTGCGGGAGCCAGGCTGGTTTCCGTCCTCCCAGAGGTCTCGGAGACCCTGCCTGCTCTCCCCTTCCCTCCCCTCCGACAGGCTCGGGCCATGGGGTTGGGGAGCGTCTTTGGACTCTGCCTGCTCTTAGTCCTCGTCCTCATCCACGCCCGCGCCTCTCAGCAAAGTAAAGCCAGCCAAGGTAAGAGGACACTCTGTCTGGCCCCACTTCCCCCATCATCTGGGCCAAGGCGCCCAGAACCTGGGCCAGGGTGGCGGAGCTGGCTGCCCTTCCTTCGGTCTCTGAGAGTCGCCGGTCGGGAGACTGGAACTTTCCCGGGGGCTGGAAGATGGGGTTTGTGGGGAGGAGCAAGAGGCTAGTGAAAAGCACTGTCGGATGTGCTGGGCAGGTGTGTTGTGTATGTGCTGCTGTCAGACTAGAGACCTCAGTTTACTCTAATAGCTAGTCTGGGTTGGGGAATCTACTTGTGCACTAATGTGGTTCTATTCCCAAAGGGTGAAAACTGAAACGTAGGAAATAGGCACAGTAGAGTTTGTAAGGGAGAGGGGGCAATATTGAATCTTAGATTTTTGGAACTGGAAGAGGGCCATTGAAGCGTTTCTCGAGGTCCATTCTCCTGCTTTATGGGCTGCAGTGGCCTCCAAGAATTTGAGAGAGGGAGTAGAAAAGGGGAGGGCGGGGAGAAAAGAGACAAACAGAGATACAGAGACAGAGAGGCAGAGAAAGAGAAAGAGAGAGAGAGAGTTGTTGCCTGTTTTCCTAAACATCCTCAAAAACTTAAACTGTAGTCCTAACAGTCTAGGAGAAATCAAACTTTTCAGCCATACCATATTTTCCCCATGCATGGGCAGTTACACAGCATTTCAAGGCTGCTGTCTTATCAACTGAAAAGTGTTTAAAGAACAATAGGAGACTTTATGGAAAAATCAGCCAGTCCCTCAACCCAGGACAGGGGGCTGAAAGGGAGAAGAAAAATCTTTGTGATGCCGGCTCCTAGAGGAATGTTGAGTTTCTGTCTCTTTCGAGGGGAAATCTCTTTCGTCCTGTATGGCTTTCATTTCTTATCATAATATTTATTTATTAAGGCCTCGGGTTTCCAATTCCATTTAAATCCAGGTCAGAATTTCATTCAAATAACAAAGTAAAATTCCAGTCTTAGGAGCTCTGACAGATCCCTCTAGGAATTAGAGACAGAGGGGCAAGAAAAGCCGCCAACCCCCGAAACCCGGAGTCCCCTTGCTTATTCTTTCTCAGCTCTCGAGGCTGAGTAGCTCCATCGGTGGAGCAGGCACTCTGGCCTGAGGACAGTTCTTCCCAAGACATCCCTCCCCTCCCCCACTTCCATGTCCTCCTGGGTGTGAGGAGGGTGGGGTAGGGGGTTGAAGTTGGAGAAAAAGAAAACACCTCCAGGCAAGGGTTTGAACTGGAGTGGTAACTCTACCTTGCTACTCTGGGGCCTGGCTGGAGCAGCCTAGGGAAGGTGAAAGGGGAAAGTTGAACTTGAAAGTTAGGGAAGCCTGTGTATCTGGGAGTGTCTGCTGTGTGTCTCGGAGCCCTGAGTAACTTCAATTTTAACCTGAATCTGATGTGTTATGAATATGAATGGGGGAGGGGGAAATTAAGGTGAGGGGAAAGAGTGTCTTAAGTATGAGGTAGAGTACACTTACTGAAAAGGATAAATTCCCACCAAACTGAACTGAAAAGGTTGGAACATTCAACTCAACTCTTTCCCCCCCTCCCCCAACTATCTTCACAAAATACTACCCATTCATGAAAGAGCAACCCCCTCCCTGAAGATCTGCAGCTGTCAAATTACCAGTACTCCCCTCCCACCACCACCACTCACACCCCATCCTAGCTCCCAACCACCTTCTCCCGAGTCCTTGCTCCCCAATTCTTGCTTCTTGGCAGCCACCACAGCCACCACCATGGCCGTCTCCCAGCTTGGAAGCAACCCCTCTCCCCACTATGGATTTGCTCGAGTTTTCATAAACAAAGCTGGCTTTTGTAGTGCGTGCTGACTTACTCATAACATGGAATTAGCAGGGGAGTTTAGTCTGAAGGAAGGAACAGATTTCATGCAATAATCTCAAGACAAGATAAGGGCCTCTTTCAAGTTGGAGCCAGTGTCTGATGTGGACCAGTGCCTGGGGGGTCGAGGGGGGGGGGAGAATGAGTGGGGCGCAGCATATCCTCAGGGTTTACATTGACAGATGGTCCAGATGGAAACCACTGGATGGGGCAGGTGTCACCAAGGGCCCTGGGAGTTTCCCCAGATCTCCAGGGTTGGAAGGATTCAATCCCTCACCCCACCCCGCCCCCATCCCACTTAAAAGATTTCATTCATTCATTCAGCAGATCTTAAGTAAGCACCAGTGATGTACGGGATAGTTACCTACTAGGTGCTTTGGAGGATCCACGTATGTATAGGATATTATTTTGTCCTCAGAGAGATACAGTTTCAAAGGCAGTTTCTATCTCCAGGACTCTCTCACGTTGCTCAGGAGCTGCCACTTCTGAGGTAGTTTGGGATTCCTGTAGCTTCTACTTTGTCTGTGATCTTTGAGTCTAGCACCCAGGAGCTGGGAGTTCTGGTGAAGTGGGAGTGGAAATGGGGTTGATATCAGCGAGTAGTTCCTCAGCTGCCTTTGACAGCCCCTCAGTTTCTTCCACCTTGGACAGGAAGCTCTCAGAACTGGGATCAGCTTGCGCAGATGTATTTAATAGCAAATTGAGCTTGGGGGTGCAGGTGTTGGGGGGTGTGGACTTCTGGGCTTTATCTCTGCGGGGCAGATGCTTGCAGGAGAACAGCTGATAAAACCAACAGGCTGGGGGAATGTAAGCAGACCCAATCTGTGTAGTATGATTTGGGGGGCCATTGAGAAGATCCCCTTGCTCCCCCACGGAGGTGCCACCAGTGCCTGAAATTCTATTATTAGTGGCTTATCCCTTTGGGTTAAGCATTGTCCTATTCTTGATCCTCTTTTAGGATGCAAATGCCCCCTGGGAGGAGTAGCATATTAAGTCACTAACACTTTAGTCTAAATTAGTTTGTCATTCCCTTTCCTCCTTTCAGCTCTGCTGCTGAGAACACTAGGAAGCCTAGGGCTAGGGTGGGAGGGGGGGGGTTGCTGTAAAGGGGAAAAGGGGATCAGAAGGTTGGTAGAGCTGAAAGGGGGAGGTTGGTAGAACTCAAGATAAATTTTGCCTGCTTCACAATTTTGCCAAAGCTGATCTTCCTAGCTTAATGTGAGTCTGCATGAATGTGTTTATGAGTATTTAGATGCAGAAAGTTTATTTTTTTTCATGAAAGCACATCAGACTAGGAGTCAGGACTTGGGTTCTAGTTCTGGCTGTGCTGTTAATTAGAGTCACTCCCATTCTTTGGTCCTTAGTTTTCCCATTTCCAAAATGGGGGCCATGGGGGGGGAGTACATGGACAGAGATAGACTAAATGATCTGTAAGGTCCCTTCCAACCCTGCCATTCTGTGACTGCTATATGACTGCTATTCCTCATCTATGAGTCTTGGTGTATTCACGTGAATATGGGTATATGCAGTGTGAGTGAAAATATATGCAAGGCATGTGAATGTATGTGAACAAGTGAATGCCCATATAGTCCACTATTTGAGTGCATATGAGTACAAATGTGAGTGCATGTTGAGTATGTGGTTTTGAGTGTTTTCAAGTGTATGTGTATGTATTTTAAGTAGGCTGACTGGATAACTGAGATAATTGTTAACTTAAAAGCATTAATTTGCTGGGGGGGCAGTTAAAAAGACATAATCCTTCTGTAGGGCTCAGGTTACAGCTGAATGAAAAGGTCTCCTGGCCTCCTGAGAAAGCTCCTCCCCTGACGCTGCCAGCTCTGGTTCCACGGGATTAGAGTTTACCTTGTTGTTTTTTCTCCTTATTATCGATAGGCTTTTGATAAGGTATTTAACACTTTAAAGAGAGAATTCTTGGGGACCTTAAAGGAAGCCACTTTTCGAAGAAGCATTCAAACAGTGTCTCTCTGTCTCTGTGTGTCTCTATGTGTGTCTCTCCAGTCTCTGTCTGGGTGTATGTGTGTGTGTCTCTCTCCCCCACCCCTCTCTCCCTCTTTAATGTGGCTGTTTCCTCTCCTTCCAGCTTCCTTCAGCTCCTGTGGCTGGGCCTTACAGTGAGGGACTGTTCCTCCCGCCCCTCCCTCTGAAATATGAAATGAGAACCATAACTATGTCAGCAAGTAAGGGTGGCCCCAGGGACAGCTGGTTTCTAAGTGTTTATGCCCCAGTGGGGCCCGGATAGAAGGAGGGAAGCACCCATTATGAAATATTCCTGGAGTCCAGTCCATGGGCATGGAGGTTGCGGGGGTCCCCAGCTCTAGACTCTGAACTTACCCAAATCTCTTTATTTCCCTGAGTGCCATCTGCAGGTCACTCTGCTAAGGGAAAGGTTAGGCCTCCAAGATCTCCATTCAATTCAATTTCAGTTCAACCAGCATTAAGCATCTAAGTGTAAGACACTCTGTTAGGCCCATGTTACTTTGTCCCACTGTTCTCCAAATGACCCCTCTTCCTCATATCCAGTTGTGGCTTAGAGTTTGCTGATGGTCCATTTTTCTCCTCCCCTCCCCCACTCCCCATCCAGTTGGGCCAGGGGAGCCATTTCCTTTTCTGACTTCAGACCCTATGATTTCTTGATCCTCACACAAGCAGTTCCCGAGTCAGGGCCTCCTAGGGATATCGCTAGACTTATGGCTGCTCAGGAGCTCTCAGCACGGACAGGGATGCTTTCTTTCAAGTTCTCATGTGTTTAAGGGATGGGAAGGAATTTGAGGCAGGAAGAGAATATTTTTAAAAAGACACCTCTCCACTCAAAGACAAGGGCTGGAAGGAAAGCTTCTTGGGAATTCTTGAGCCGTTCCCTTGAGTCCCTGCCCTCCTGGTGATAATCCCTGGGGAGGTGGGGAAAGGGGGAGGTGAGGTAAAGCTAGGATGGTCTACGAAGTTTCGCCCAGTGTCTTCCTGGCCCCCTCCCCATCTGCATAACTGAGTAAAAGAAGAGAGAACCCAGAGGCCTGAGTTTTCTCAGCACTTAGCAGAGGCCTCTAAGTCAGAATCCTCTAAAGGTAGAGAAGGAAAGTTATCAGCAAGCCCCAAACAACGGCTGTTTTTGAAGCATTTAGGGATCTGAG